AGGCTCTAAACAATCAAATTGAGACACACCTAAATTTCCCAAATATAGGTTGCAATTGTTCATATGAAGCCCTGTGACTGTTCATGTTACGCCATTTTTGAATAAGCATACCATTTGACTTCTGTTTAACATTCATAGACCATTAATCAGTTATTATAGTTTATATAATTGGATCATCAACAGTGGCAACAGTTCAAACTTAAATCGATGTTCAGTGGCACTTGGTTACGTCGTGCGGCGAGACACTCGCACAGCTGCGCATTGCGCTGCATCATGTTGCATCGCGCCGGGTTCCGGTTTACATTGTCAGAATGGGTCACAAGCTACTCCCAAATGGCGTTGTGATGCTACTGGATCAGTGACATGGGTTGCACTAGAAAAGAAAGATAACGGCCCCTGTGCACGGCCTTTTCTCTTAACACACCAAGTGTGCTTTAGCGCGCCGCGCCCTTGTCACTATGCATTCGTGTATGCATGTATTGCATGTTTTGTATGAGTTTTATTATTATTATTATTATTACAATAATATGAAATTTTATTGACATAAACAGATTTCACAGCATACAAAAAAATTTGGAGAGGGATTTACGTTTTTTTTTCTTCTAAACTACAAAAGATTCCATTTATAGGTAGAAATTACAAAATTGTTCCTTAGAATTTCATTTTTTTTTATTTTTTTCCAAAACTGTTCTTTGATATTTTAATTTGTTTCTTAGTTTATCATTAGTCGGGAACTGCCATGTTAACGAAAAAACTAAAAAAACAATTAAAATTAAAATTCGGACCAAGGACTCTATCCCCAGATTGTAGGGTAATTTTAAAAAAAAAAATGTTGGCTAACCCATATTTTTTTTTTTTCCAAAATTGCCCATCGGCCAAGCGAAATTTTGAATTTTTGTGCCTTCAATCTTGGGGTGTTGTCCTATTAACGAAAAAGCTAAAAAAAAAAAATCAAAATTCGGGTTGATCGAAGGGCAAGTTTGAAAAATACAAAAAATGAGTTGACCGACCTTCTTTGTAATTTCTCCTTATAAACAGAGTATTTTGTGTTTTATCTAAAATTTGAGGTTCGTACCTAATTCACTTTCCGAAAGTAATAAAAAATTATGCTTTTTAAATGATATTATTTTAAAATAACAATCCGTCGTAACATTCACATGCTTGCAGACTCCAAGAGAGAGAGAGATTAAGCCTCTTCGTTTAGTGTGCCGCTGGGCTTGAATTCCAAGTTCCTAACCAACCCACCCATGGCAAAAGCTGAGAGTTAAAAATACTCAAAGATAAACAGTGGGCTTGAATTCCAAGTTCTTGACTAACCCACCCAAAGCAAAAGCTGATAACTGAGTGACTCAAAACATATAATGATAATCAGCACAACTAACTGACTTTTCATTTTTGAATTAAGTTTTCTCCAATGCCAATGGCGCACCACAATAATTTCACTCGATGAGGGCAGTGAACCGCTTGCAACTGGCTTGGTTCAACTTCAGTCATTCATTGAAGCTTATCCACCTCTTGATAAAAGTAGTCTACCTCAACATACTTACTCGTGCTGTTCTACCTAATTTTAATATATTTTATCAAAGGAAAAAGTTTGTACAAGGTTGCAACCTTATAAAGTAGAACTACGGATGCACCTCAAAATCTATCAGAAAAAATTGTTTTAAAGTTGAAAAACCCTGTGATTGATCATCTCGACATTGAAATGTATGACTATGAAAATTAAAAAGATTTTGAAACTAAAAAATAATGCATCTCACAACAAGATTTTCATATGTTTATAGATTGACTTGATTTTAACAATTTTTTAAATTTTAAATTTTATACTTATATATAAAATTAGATTTCGAGATAATCTCAATAACATTTTACATCAAAATTATATATTATGATAAAATTTGTAAGTGCATTGTAGTGGGATTGTTTACGGCTGCAACCGTATGGAAACCACACCTTTTATCAAAATGCACCCGTGTGTTCAATAATTTAACAAATTACTCTTTTTCCCTGTTCCAACTCATTGTCATGTTATTTTTGAAATCAAACAAAAAAATATGCGTAAAACTATTAAATAGTTAAATAGTTGATCTCTTATGAGTATTTTGTTCAGTTTTCCTAATTTTAATAATGGATACAATAGTAGATACTTTACGTATGTGAGCTTTGAATAAGGGACGGTACAACATTCAGATCAAGCAGAAAGGATGCATAAGGATTTTACTATGTTTTAGATTAAATATGGGCCTAATCGAGGCCACAAACAAATTTCGTTAATTATTTTTGTTTTTTTTATAAGTTTCATTCGCATGAAAATCAGATGTTAATACATCTAATTTTGAGATGGATTTTAAGACATTATTTTCACGGATATGTAATATCTAATATGGAGATCATGAATATGAAAAAATAAATAAATTTTAAGAATTATAAATTATAATTCTAGTAAGAAAACATTTGAGTTGTTAATTTCCATTGTTTTTTAAATGGAACATCTAGTTGCATTGATCTTGAGATGGACGATTTTCACTTTCTGGACCGCAAATGTAGAAATGCGGTCCAGCCAGCATGAAACAAATATTCTTAAATGAAATATGAAGAATTATGAAGTGAGTCACTGTGCCTTATTCCAATGTTCACAGGGTTGGAAAATGTCATTTTCATGGCTTTAATAATCATTGTATCAATTGGTGGGGTTAGCAAATTGGCTTTTGTGCATTTTTCGCCTTCCATTGCGATCTTTTCCACTTCTCATGTCACACGTGCAATCAAGAAGAGCCCACTACAATCGAACGGTTCACAATAGTTCAAAGAGAAAGTTCATGTGAAATCTGAACCGTCCGCTGCCTACTCAAATGTGCGCCACACGTGTTGGTCAATATGCCAATTATTGCGGTAAAAAAGGCAGACTAAAGTCAAAGTCACGAGTGCTCTTTGTTGACTTGATTATTTAATAATTGGTCGTGATGGACGGCCGATACAGCTCATGGAAGCTTCTTTTGGCTTTTCTAAACCCTAGGTTGCCGCAAACTCAAGTTGTGTGCTCAAAAAGTTAACTCGAGTTAAAAGTTATCCAAGCTAGGCTTGAAAAGCAAATTCGACAATGGAATTCCCCATGATACTTTAAAATCACTTTTAAATACTTATAATAAGATTTGAACTAAAAAACTAGGTCTTTGTGGATTTGTAAACGCTTATTTTTAAGAGAATATAGATTGTTTAAACAACTTATAACAATATATACTATTTATAGAGCTGAAAATCTTAATTTTTTTTACAACTATAATATTTAAACCTAAATGATTGATGCAAAGGTTTTTCAATGCTTGAATTTTAGTTTTCAAAGAGTAATAAGGTGATGATTTATTCATTTTGATATGGTTGCAGCCCCTATCAAACCATTTTCCTTTACAACGTGGGCTGTTACGGTGAGCTGGTGGTCTAAGAAACTGGTGTAGATTGGTGAATCACTAATGCAAGCTAACAATCTGATTGATTCTTTTGGGTGAGAATAAGTCAATAAAAAGATTAGATGTTAAAAAGATTACCCATTTTCTAATAAAATTGGTTGGTTATGTAAATACTATATTTAGATTTCTTATTTTTATTTATTTTTAATGATAAATTTAGATTGTGCAGCCGATCTCAAATAATTAAAAAAAAAACATAATGATTATTATAATAAGGAGATGAAAAGAAAATCATTAAAATAAACATAATTTATGAAAATAATATTTTATCTATTTTCAATTATTACAAATGTTGATCAGATATGAGTAAAATAGCTCACCTCTTAGGTACATTTCCAAAAAATTAATTATGTATAAAGAGGTTATAATTACTTTTAAGTTGTCCATATCAAATTAGACAGTTTGGGGTATGTTACAAAGTTTGAAAAAATTTATTTAAAACATCATGTTTGAACAATACACTCTGAGATACCTGATTTCAAATTCAATGGACAAAAGTAATCATGAATTTCTCACCCCAATTGCAAATAGTATTTTTTCAAATTCCAATACATTCGAAAGGAAAAGGGAGGAGATAAGTACGAATTACATTAGAGAGTATCAACTTTACCATAAAAAAGATAAAATTCAAAAGTATTCATTAGTGTTACATGTATATTAGCATTCGAAGCTACTACAAAATGCCTAAAGAAAAAAATAAATAGTGATTTTACCTACCTTCATTTTCATGTAAACTTCATCGTACGGTTACAGTTGTCCGGTAATGTTTTAATTTTTAATTTTTTTTTTTACTAATCGAAATGATCTAAATTTTGAATCGTGTGCGCATCTTCGTAAAGCAATTCTAATAAAAATATGAAAAAAATAATTCTCATTATATAATACGATCAAAATACCTCTGGAAATTTTTGGAAGTATTGCAGTCCGTTTATATATTGTAAATTATTGTTTCATATATTTTATTAAGTGCACCTCATTAGGATGTACACACGTTTCAAATTTTAAATAATTTTTATTTGTAAAAAAAAAAAAAAAATACTATCAGATAACGTAAGATAAAATTTAAATTGTGATAAAAATAGACAACTGACGGTCACTTACAGGAGTTGGGAAGCGTTCTCCTACTGGCACTAGTACAAGTGGCTATGAGTGTCACATATATCTAGTATATCAACTTATGAGTGTCAATTATATCTAGTGTATTAACTTAAAAGTCGCATCCACTATTCTTTCGTGACAATGTGTATGGTAAGGATTCAATTAGTCGAATCTCATAAGGAACTACACTATCTACTATGAAAGGTTGCAGTTTACTATGGTGATCAATAGTTCTATCACCGGCATTATTGAACCTTTTAAAACGATACTATCAAGAAAAGAGCCTAGAACAATTGAACGGTCAAGATGACCCCAAATGGAGCTAAGTAGGTCCCCCCCGAGTTTCAATGCAAAAATTACCATGCTACACCTCTCGACACCCAAAATCTCAACCGTACATTTTCTTCCACTAGATCGTTCCAGCCCAAATTCAACGGGAAAGAGCTTCAAGAAAAACCCACGGCACAGAATGGAGTTCACGTTAAAAAGAATCTAATCAGGACCGTCCAATAATTTTAAACCTTTGCTAATATGCCTATCTATATATTCAGTCCAACAAGAGACTGCAAATCCGGCAATTCCACATACGAACATGGACTCGAGAAACCCAAGCTCTCTCTCTCTAACTCTCTCTCATAACTGTCTCTCTCTAACCCTTTTTTCTCTCCTTCTCTCTCTAACCTTCTTCCATGGCCACTGTCAAGAAGACCAAGTCCTCCTCAAGATCAAACAACAGTGGGGAAACCCCCCTCCACTCCTTTCATGGAACTCAACCAGTGGCCATCACTGTAACTGGTTTGGAATCACCTGTGATTCAAATTCAATCACAGGAATCTCTCTCTCCAATCTAAACATCACTGAAAAAATCCCAGATTCAATCTGTGACCTAAAGAACCTTACCCACCTTGATGTTTCTTACAATTGTATTACAAGTGAATTTCCTGAAGTTTTGTTCAACTGTTTTCGCCTTGAATTCCTTGACCTGTCCCAAAACTATTTTGTTGGTCCAATTCCATCTGAAATTTTTCGCATATCCAAGCTTAAACAGCTAAATTTGTCGGCGAATAACTTCTCTGGAGATATACCCGATGGAATTAGCCGTATTTCTGGACTAGAAAACTTGTATCTTCACGCTAACCAGTTTAATGGCTCGATTTCGCCTGAAATTGGGAATTTGTTGAACCTTTCAGAGCTACTTTTGGCCTATAATCCATTCCCTCCGGCAAAGATCTTGCCGGAAATTGGGCGCCTGAAAAAATTGACTTATCTTTGGATGAAAGAAAATAATTTGGTTGGAGAAATGCCTGATTTCTATGGAAATTTGACTGAGCTCAGGCAATTGGATCTCTGCAACAATCGACTCAGTGGCAAAATTCCTCGCAGCTTGATGAGCTTGAAGAAGCTTGAGTTTCTGTATCTTTCTTATAACAATTTGACAGGGATTATACCAAGGCCCATTCAAGCTTTGGGATTGATAAACATGGATCTCTCCATTAATCAACTCAGCGGAACTATACCAGAAGATATTGGGAACTTGAAGAATTTGACAAATTTTGCGTTGTATCGAAACAAATTAACGGGTGAAATTCCTTTAGGGCTTGCTCAAATTCCATCTTTATACGATGTGAAGCTTTTCAAGAACAAATTAACTGGTGTTTTGCCTCCTGATCTTGGAAAAGATAGCCCTCTTTATAATCTTGAGGTTTCAGAGAACTCGCTTTCTGGTAATTTGCCTGAAAGTCTCTGTGCAAGTGGCCATCTTGATGCCATAGTGGTTTTCTCGAATATTTTTTCAGGGGCTCTGCCTGAATCTCTGAGCAATTGTAGAAATTTGAGAAGTATGCAGGTTCACCTTAACAAATTTTCCGGCGAAATTCCGGCCAAAATTTGGAGTTTGGAGTTCATGGAGGTTATGATGCTGGGAAATAACTCATTTTCCGGTCAGATTCCAGCCATTTTAGCCAAGAGACTAACCAGATTAGAGGTTCAAAACAATCGCTTCACTGGTAAGATCCCTTCTGGCATTTCGAGCTCAGTTAATCTAACTGTTTTCAAAGGGAGCAACAACCAATTTTCCGGTCAGCTTCCGGCTGAAATCACAGCTTTGAGAAAGCTGGAAACCCTTTTACTTGACCGAAATAAACTTTCCGGTGAACTTCCAGCCAAAATTGAGTCTTGGGAGTCTCTGGCTCGTTTGGATATGAGCTATAACGAGCTCGAAGGAACCATTCCAAAATCCCTCGGGTCTTTACCTTCACTAAACAGTCTTGACCTAACCAATAACAAATTTTCCGGCGAGATTTCGCCGGAAATAGGTGAGCTCCGGCTAAGTTTCCTGAACCTATCTGGCAACAATCTCGCTGGAAAAATCCCTCATTCTTTTGATAGCCCTGCTTTTGATCTGAGCTTCTTAGGAAACCCCGCTCTATGTGGTGTAATCGTTCATCCTTGTGAAAAACGCACCAGAGATTCAGGCGATGGATTGCCGGGATATTTGGTGGCAATCTTGACAGTCACGGGAATATTCTCCATGGTCATGCTTGCCTTCACAATAGCGACCCTATTTCATCGCCGGAAAATATTTTCAGGAGAAGATCCAGGGAACTGGCAGGTGACCTCGTTTCAGAAGCTGGGGTTTTCAGAGTCTGAGATCCTTCAACAACTCACTGAAAACAACGTGATTGCCAGGGGAGGAACCGGAAAAGTTTTCCGAGTAGCCATCAGAGAGGAAGTAGTTGCAGTGAAAAAGATAAGCAAATCGGAGAAGAGAAATCCAGAGAACGAGAAGGATTTCCATGGAGAAGCTCAGATTTTGGGGAAAATCCGGCATTCGAACATACTGAAGCTGTTGTGCACGATTTCAGGCGAGGAATCAGAGCTTCTGGTTTACGAGTTCATGGAGAGAGGGAGCTTAGAGGACTGTCTCCATGGTGGCCAAGGTGCTTTAATGGCGTGGCCCCTGAGGCATCAGATCGCCATTGATGTAGCACAGGGACTATGCTACATGCACCATGGTTGCTCGCCCGCCATAATACACAGAGATGTGAAGTGCGGTAACATACTGATGGATGAGGAGTTTAGGGCAAAAATTGGGGATTTTGGGGTGGCGGAAACAGTGGATAAGTTGGGGCAGGGAGTGCCGATGTCAGCTGTTGCAGGATCCTATGGCTACATCGCTCCGGGTAAGATTTCTCATTCTGCTCTACAATCCAGAGAGATATATGTTTATATTCACATTTATTTAGCTATTTAAGAGTAGAGAGAGGTTTTTATGGTGCCGAGGCTGTCAATAATCAAATTTGAGCCTACCTAAAAATATTTGTTTTTTATGTTCAAATATCTTCAAATCGATCGTATCGACATCAATATGCATAAACACGAGAAACTAGAATTCCTGTTTAAAAAATAGTGTATTTTGTAACGCATATTTGAACCATCAATTTTCAAGTTTTCTTAAATATATCGATCCACATTATTTTTGAAGCTTTAAACTTTATAAATAAAGATAAAAATATGTTTTAAGGCTATCACAAAGATTTCCACTAATAAAACTATGTTTTTTGATACTATTAATCTTAATTTAATTGTTTAGAGCCTAGGCTCTATACAAACCGCAGCCTGTTTTATATTTACATTTAGCTATTTAAAGTGAGAGAGAGAAAGAGATGTTTATATGTACCTTTCACTGTACAAACCGCAGCCTGTTTTATATTTACATTTTGCTATTTAAAGAGAGAGAGAGAGAAAGAGATGTTTATATGGACCTTTCACTATTTAAGTGTAGTTTAAGTGTAGAGAGAGAAAGAGGAGAGGGAGACTGAGAGAGTAAGAGGGAGAGAGAGGTTTTTATATTTAGGATTGATTACAAATAAACCATTTATCTTTTATACGGTGGTCACGATGGTTTCCATTTATTAAATATCAAATTGGATGGTTTAGAGTAAGTTATGTAGTTGTCCACAGAGTCAATTGAAAAAAGGGTACGCACCAAGAGAGGAAGGCCTAATCCCAGGTTTTAAAACTTGGCAATCTAAAGCAGGAATCACCGATCTAGATTTAGATTGGGCAAGCCGGGGTTTGGGTTCCTACTCCCCTGATGCTACGTTCTTATTCTACTATTATTATTTTTTATCGAATTTTTTACCAATTCGACAGATTCGAATGGTGCAATGGGTTGGGGGTCCAAAACCCGATTTTTCTAAAACATAGACACAAGCCAATTTGGATTGGGGCCTGGGTTTTATGAAAACAAAGTAAACCGTCACCCCAAATCTTGATATGGAAAGTACTTTGGATATCAAGAATCTCTAGCTCCAAAAATAATTTCTTAGATGGACTATGAAAGTCGAATCTCAAAAAATGGTATAGATCTTATGGATCCATGACACTTATTCTTAGGACAAAATGGGGGTTTAGATAATGTGTTATAAAATACCCTATTTTTAGGTTTTGAAATCCTAATTAATTTTTACAACCATAATGTTCATAGCCAAGATGATCGATTTGAATATTTTTTTATTGTAGAGCTGCAATTATTTGTGAGTTTCAAGTTGATATTTTATTTATTTTGATAGGACTGCAGTCCTATCAAAATATATATATATTTTTTTTTTGCTTTTTTCTTCTTTGTATTTGTCAGGGCTGGCTGGACTGGGCCAAGCCCTCCAGAGTACGCCAAGCTCGGGGCCGGCCATGTTGGGACCAAGGCTGGTCTAGCCATTCCATCCCAAAAAGAAAAAGAGAGGAGAAATTCAGCATTATGCATGTTAATCTTACTTGTCACTAAAATTGAGAGCATTTTGTTTGAATACCCCAGAGTATGCATACACAATGAAGGTGACTGAGAAGAGCGACGTCTACAGCTTTGGCGTGGTCCTCTTAGAGCTAGTGACCGGCCGCTCAGCCAACAAATGTGATGGCCACAGTAGCCTTGTGGACTGGACTCTAACTCAAATTCAAAATGACAAGTCAATATATGGAGTCTTGGATAAAGCAATATGTGAGCCCAGATTTGCAGAGGACATGGGCTTGGTGCTGAGGTTAGGGCTCATGTGTGCCATCCATTCTCCATCTCAGAGGCCATCCATGAAAGAGGCTGTGAACATACTGTTGCAATGTAGTCCTGGGGGGACTGGTAAGAAAATCATGGGCCCTGAGTTTGATGCTGCTCCTTTGCACCCTAAAAGCCCATCAGTTTATTTTCTTGGGATAAGGGGTAGTAGGAGACACAAGTCCATTGAGGAAGACATTGGGGTGGTGGACAATGTATATTAGTCTCGACTCTTGTCATCTCTCCCCTATCTCTCTTTCTTATGAAGTTTTATGCATGATTAGTATGATAAAGATGTAAAGTAGGCTTCCAGAGAAAATGTATATAAGGAGATCACTTACTTTTTGCTATCAGGAGGTCCCAATCATTGTTGACCGTTATATTTGAAATCGGGTGGGTGATGGCGTATCATTGTTTGGACACAAAGTCTAAAATAAATTTTTTTAAATGTTGTGATACACTTTCATCTATTGAATTTCACGTCTAATGGCTAAAAATAATTGTAATCGCTTTTTTAACAAAAATAAATAATCTTGTAGTATACAATCCTGCTTAAGAAAGGTGAAATAGTCTTTTTCGTGGGGACAGAACAGTAGTCTTTTGTTGGGTTGGGAATTGGCCTAGGGGCCCAACCCAATCTTGAAGCTTGATCCACATAATATGGCTTAGGTGCGGATAGGGCGTCGGCCAAAGCCATAGCTTGTCCGGCCCGATATGGAGTTTCTATTTTTTTTTTCTTTTTCTGAAAGAAAGCTATTAGAGCTGCTATGGCCCGGCCATCTATGGGGCCCATTCGATCTGATCCGGGTCCAAGCCAGCCCTATAGGGAAGGTCTAGTTGGTTGCCAGCCCTAGTCATGTGACTCGATCATCAAGATTACAAAAATTCCAGCCGCTAATAAAACGCAGCAAACTAAATAAACCGTTTCATTCAGGATCTATGAAGCAAGTACCAGCTCATGTACTCCAACGATCCGCCTCGTTGTCTCGGCAGATATGAGCCAAAGTCACTGATCTACATGCACAGAGTTCATGAATCTTGATTAATTTCGAGACCATATTCCATGGCGTCATTTGCTTTGCTGTATACTAATCAATGGTGTTTAGAGGTCGCCTTCAACAAGTTCATTGTAATTGTAAGGATTCATGGGCTCTCTCTAACCCTTAACAAACCCATTAGAGCAATTCTTTTAAGCCTGCTCTTCCGACTGATGTCATTCATCAATCTCTATTCCAGAGCTAAAATATTATAGGAAGTGCTTCTCTACAAACACTCAGCCTTTCATGACGCAAAAGACATTTTTGAGAATGTTTCTTTTTCTAGGAAGCTATTTTACATATATGGTGTACAAAATAGGGCACACAAATTCTTTTCTCTCTCATTCCATATATATAAGAAAATTGTTTCATGTGGTGGAGACCGCATTTCTACATTTGCAGTCCTCGAGGTATAAAGCATCCATGTTAAAGATGGACGCAAATAGGTGGTCCATTTAAAAATAATTGAAACTAACTCTCCAAATGTTTTCTTACTAGAATTCTTATTTTTAATTTTTAAAATTTGTTTATTTATTCATGTTCATGATCTCCATGTTAGAGATTACATGTCCTTAAATATTAGGTTAAAAAATCCATCTCAAAAATAGATTTTTAAGAGGTGATTCATTTTTACATGGACTCACATAAACCTCGTCCTATATACAAAGCCATGAATTCTTTACCGGATATGAATCCCATAAAAGTTACATACATCTCAAAACTTATCGATATAACCAAGAGTTGTAATCCAATTGGAGTTTTATTTTTTTTTAATCTAATCTTAACTTTACTTATCATCAGATGTGAGCGTGTCATCTGCTGTGGTGATTCCTACATGCCCTAAATAATTTAATAAAAGTATACTATTTTAGTCTCTCAGTAAGTCATTTTTGGTAATGAAAATCTCCATGATGAATCTGGAATCAATTTCCAACACCGACAATAAGATTTGTAACTCAAAAAATAGAACTTGTGGATCTCTGAACACTTGTTTTTAGGGTGAAATAAACGGTCTACATAATTTGTTACAATATACATTATTTTTAGAGCTTAAAATCCTATTTTTTTTCATAACCATAATGTTCATGCCGAGATGACTAATATAAAGGTTTTTCAATATTTGAATTGTAATTTTCAATGAGTTGTGAGATATGCTTTACTTATTTTGATTAGGCCGCATCCCTATCAAACCATTTTCTTTTTCTATATCCAAGCTATTTCCTTCAAAATTTCTTCTATTTTTCCCCATCAATGTTTCCCACAATATGCCTAAAGTCAATATTTGGATATAATATTTCCGACCATTGGCAAGGGTTGTAAATTTTGTTTATCAAATATATGGTTGCTACTTGCCCAAAAAAAAGTTTGGATGGCAAATCTTTGAAGTTAGAATTGGTGTCTGTAAGTCAATCATACAAACTGCCGTGCTATATTCTCTTCACAAATTGGTCTTGGAAAAATATAAGTAAGGTTTAAAGGGTTTAAATTATCTTACAAAATCTTGAAGGGCTCAAAATATCTCCTTTACCACTGCAACATTTATTTTCTAGATTTTTCTTATAAAAGTAAATCCTCAAAGACTTTGTTAAAAAATTATAAAATGGAAAAAATTTATATAAGGTTGCAACCTTAAAATGTAGAATCACAAATGCATCTCAAAAAATCCATCAAAAATGATTGTTTTAATGTTGAAAAACCCTCTAATTGATCATCTCGACAACGAGATGTATGAATATAAAAAGAAGATTTTGAGTCCCATAAATAGTACATCTTGCAATACATTATTTACATAGTCTATTTTCAATATTTTCATATGTTTATAGATCTACTTGATTTTTATCATTTTTGAAGTTTAAAATTTTATAATTAGATTGGAAAATAAATCTTGATATAATCCTAAGAATTTTTTACACCAAAATTACAAGTAATAATAAAATTTAAAAATGCGACTTAATTGGATTGTTTAAAATTGCAATCTTATAGAAACCACGCCCTTATAAAATTGCCCTTGTTTTGAGGACCTAAACAATTAAGGGCATTTCCATAATTTAGCCCACTTAAGTGCCTCTAAGCCAAATTGCAAAAATGCTCCTCGTTGTTCGTAACTAAGAAAATAGAACGGCCAAATAACCAAAATCTCCCTAGTTGCTCAAAGTTAGCAATATACAACTTGTGGTATTTTTATCATGGGTGTGGTTTCTATAAGGTTACCACTTTAAACAATTCAATTAAGGTGCACCTTCGAATTTTATCACAATATATAATTTTGGAGTTAAAAATTCTTAGGATTATCTGAGAATCTATTTTCACATGTAATTATAAAATTTACACTTCTAAAATGGTTAAAATCAAGTAGATTTATAGACATATAAAAATTTTCAAAATGAACGGTCTAGATAATATGTTGCAAAATACATTATTTTTGGGACTTAAAATATTTTTTTCCATATTCATACATCTTGATGTCGAGATGATCTAATATATCTTGATGTTGAGATGATCAATTAGAGAGTTTTTCAACATTAAAATAACCATTTCCGATGGATTTTTGGAATACATATTTAATTCCACATTTTAAGGTTGCAACTTTATATAATTTTTTCCTTTCGTCATTTAGTAGTTCCATGTTCTTGACTCTTAAAATCGAGGTTATTTTTATAATTCGGCTTGAGTGACATAAGCAAGCCCATAGTTGTTCATGATTCTCTATCCTTAGCATGGGAAGTTTAAGAATGTTTGAACAAAGTTTTTGAGAAGGTACTTTTTTATTACAAAAATAAATCTCGTAAATTTTATAGTGATAACCAAAATCTATTAAGCCCTTTACTGATATTGCAAACTAATTTAAACCCTTTAATGATCTTTTCCCCAGGTTCTTTTATCACTTGAGCTGGCGTGATTGGGTTGGATTTAGCATTAAAATTCGATCTGAAGCCCATGGGAAAAAAATCGGTCTAAACCTTTCTCATAGTTTTTAAGTTTGTATTCAAATATTTGATATAGTGGAATATAAAATCAGTAGAAGTGTCGTCTTTTATGGATCATGATAGGCAAATGTCATTTTTCAATACTCAAACTTGACTTGATGTGTTACGTCAGTCAAGTTGGAAAACCCATGTTACTTGAGCATGGACTGATGAAGGTTTTATGGGTCATCCCTTGATGAGGTTTGAGTTGCCTAAGTGTGTGAGCCAAGGGACTATGTGACCTTTGAGTGTGATGGTTGGCCTCTAGAGACGAGAGCTAAAGCCTCATCACTCAACCATCACACGACATGTACATATGATAGCCGTATCGAGAAAGCGAATCACCTTTGGTAGTGAAGCCTGTACATGTCCGAGAGATTACCCCTATGCACTATAGAGCTTTAATTGTATCAGATACGTGTGGCATTGAAATCATCTTTAGGGGAGAACCTGTAGTTTATAAACTGTGATTGTATCCCATTGCTTATTGGCTTATTTTTGTGGCTCAATCATGAACCCCTGCAGTGGTCTATGAGTCATGGGAACTGCTAGGTTACTTTAAAAAAACAAGTGTAGATTATAGTCTACAGTAGAAGATGAAATATTTAAGCGATATTATAATTTCTAGACCTTGTTGGATCCGATTTCTAATAAAATTATTTGGTTTTAATTATTTGGATGTTAAATAATTTTAAGATTGATTATTTAAATTTTTTTGAGTTTTTGGATATTTCATTTTTACAAAATGGATTTATAAAATGAGATATATTCAATTTTCAGTATTTAAATATTCAAAGAGAAATAAAAGTAATTTTCAAAATTTCTAAAAATCATTTATTGATTCTATAACTCACTAAATAGATGAAAGGCCCACCATGAGCTATGGCCCCACCATGAAATTAATTACATGGAGAAATTGGGTGGGGCCCACATGAGGCCACTTAGGGTGGCACGCCCCATCCAAATTGGTTTGCACTTTTTAAATTGGATTAAAGCCACGTTAGGCATTCAATCATATGATAATGTTATGGAAGGTTTTTGTGATTTGAGAACTTGGAGTATTCAAAGAACGTATAAATAAAAAATTTTATTAAGATAAAAAAATATGAGATCATTTTCTATATTTCAATACTTGATGAGATTAGGTTTAGGAAGCTGGAGGATAAAGTTTTATCATTTTCTTTTAAATCATGATAGCTGATCTAAATAATGAATATCTCATATCTCTCATCCCCTAGATCTCCTAGATCAATGATTTGGAATCAATTTGTATAAAAATGGCTAACCCTAAAGAAACCATAACCCATGAAAAGTTTATAACTATGGTCCTACTCTCCCTCTAATCTCTACACCTCTGCCTACTCTCCAGGTGTGGCC